AGACGTGTGCTCTTCCGATCTAAAAGAGATATGATTTTTTGAAAAAAAGGTGCTAAATCGAGATTTTTTCGCGTTTTGAACTTTCCTTTTTCTTTGAACCCGTATATCTTGGAACTCCTTAATTCTATTGACTTTTAAACATTATGGGCTTGTTCCCTAGTCGATTCTCTATCGATTGAAAAAAAAATTAATTGAAATATGTCCATTTTTACTAGAGTTACTGCAATAAATATGGATGGGTCTCCGGGACCCCAATGTGTATACGATGTCGTCAAATAAACAGTGTGTATACCTACGGTTAAGACATCTTACATTTAGATTTTGGACATGCAATAAGCGCTGTATTTTTCCAAATTTAAATCACATAAAATTATCCTATCTTACTTACACAGTAAAAAAAACAGTTTGCATTTATGATAGAAACAGTTCATTCACTTGTTCGTTAAAATTTTGCATTTTTAACATATTCGAAACTTAATTTAACATAATGTGATTATGTTATTTAAATATTTTGTGTTAAATTGATATTCAACATTTCTTAATGTCAAAATAACACAATTTATGATTAAATGAACAAATAACATAAAAATAATATGTTTTAAAACGTGAATTCTAACATAAATGAATAAAATACGTATTAATTTTATTGAAAAAAATGTGCTTCTACAATTTACTTACAAATTTTTAATGTTGATTGATGAAATGTTTCACTTTTCAAACAGTGTTTCATTTCTTGTGTTAATTCTTTAATATAATATTTATGTTACTTTCTAACCAATCTAACCATATTCATCTTAGGTTAAATTAACACAAAAATATAAGTGGGCCGTTTGGAACATGTAAAATGTGTTAAATATATCACAAATTTTCTAAAAGTATACTATTACAATTTATAAGGTGTCATTACCTATGGTAAATGCTATTTTCGGATCTCCCGTCTCGAACCAGAAACGATCACCGACTCGCGTTTGCTGGAACTGTCTCAACATGATGCACAGGAACGTCGGTCCAGCCAGCGCACCATTAACATGCCTCTCCAAGGATCCACCGACGGTCAACTCGACGTCATCCGGACTAACGTACAGTGTGGTGAGTTTTTGTATGTCCTGCAATTTTTAAATTCAATATTTTTAGAGTAAAATGCATGTAGAGATGCCGTCAAGATTCGAGATTTCAAAAATCTCGTCTTGTCCAGTCGAAACTTTTTTGTTGAATTTCAAGACATGACAAGATTCTCTAGACTCGAAATACTCCAAAATTTTAAGTCTCAAAAAATTGTAAAAATTGTTCCATTCTTTTATAAAATATTCCTGAATTGAAAGAAATGAAAATGATAAAATAAGATGATAAATTTTAATTTCGAAAAGAATCACTGAAAATGAACTGAAAAATCACTTAAAAAATTTTAATCCGTTTAAATTTTCATCTTAAACTGTTGGAGTAACTGCAGTTTAACTTATATAAACGTTTCTAGAAATTTGTTAGAAATTTTTAGAAACGTTTATATAAGTTAAACTGCAGTTACTCCAACAATTTAAGATGAAAATTTAAACGGATTAAAATTTTTCAAGTTTTAAATAATAAATATAATTGTCTTCCTAAATAAATAATACAAACATGATTAAATAATATTTCAAAGCAATATTACTAAGTTTAGATCATATTAGACTATATAGAGTGTCCAGAAAAATCGCCCGTAATATTTCGGGAAGTGATTCAGGATCCAAAAAGAAGGAGAAAAAAGCTAAATAAGCATAGGTCCGGAAATGAGTTGTTTCTGAGTTATAGTCACTTTTGTATTAAAATAATCGTAAATAAATCATAATAATAGTCATAATAAATTGTGATCAATATGATTATGACAATGAAAAATAAATTACGATTTTTTTAAGTTATAGCTACTTTTATGTTTAAAAAATCGTAATTTTTACAATCCTCGAGATTTTCGAGAATTTTGAGACAAGATTTTCGGATTCGAAATCAAGACGAGAATACACATGTTGAGATTTTTTTCACGACAAGACGAGATTTTGCAAAATCGCAATTTATTTTACAAAATCTCGTCTTGTTTTATTTTGCGGCGTCCTTAAATGCATGTATACAGAAGTTTCGTTTTACCCACCGAAAGAGATATATAGTCGGCAAAATCGGTGAACGTTCTCGCTCGTGGCAGTCCGCAGTGTTCGCGATAATCATTGTACGAAGCGAGCCCGTGATCGCGATCCCTTTGGATGTCTACCGCTCGCAAATCGGACCCGAGGAACCTTCCTCTCCTGAACAAGAACTGTGTGATCTGCAAGCGATTATTGTTATTAATGGAAATCGCATATTAATCCTAATCCAGTCTTAATCAGAATGACTTTTGTCTTTGTTGTCGACGGTTTTTTTTTGCCCCAAATTCGACTTTTACTTTTTTATGCAGTCAAACCTCGCGATAACTCGAACCTCTATATATAAACAACAAAAACCTGACAAGATTCGCTGAATTAAAAATACAATGAGTAAGTAAGACAGATGGGAATCGGCGCAGTTATTGGTACGCAATATTTAATTTACATAAAATTTACTTTATTCTAAAAGTTAAACGTTTTGGCTATCTTTTTTAGCCATCTTCAGTCAAATGTTTCGGCTATCTTTTTTAGCCATCTTCAGTGACAATTAACAGAAATTACATTTAACTCTCGCTCTTAGTTTCTTAAGAACACGTTAAGAAACTAAGAGCGAGTGTTAAATGTAATTTTGGTAAATTGACATTGAAGATGGCTAAAAAAGATAGTCGTATGATTTTTAAAATAAAGTAAATTTTATGTAAATTAAATATTGCGTATTAATAATCACGCCGATTTCCATCTGGCTTATTTACTTATTGTATACTTTATATATAATTTTTGAAAATCTCTATAAGACAACAATTTTGTTTATTCCCTTCCGCTCCGCCACGGAAAATCTTTATAAATTAAAATAAAATCTACCTTAACTCAAATTATTTGTCAGATATTTAGATGTATTATTTTATATCTCTGCAACACAAATTTAAAGTAGTTAGACCTCTATGAGTTAAACTTCTATTGTCGCTGCCTCTATAATTCGAAGTTGTAGATATATGTGTAACCATGAGTAATAACCTAGTTTATATTTGTTTCATGATTACATTTATTATATATAGGGTACAGCGGGGTAATTTAAACAGTGGGAAAATTTGGATAATAGTAAATATTTGCAAAAATTTCAGAAAAATAAGAGATTTTAAGATACATTTCATTAAATCAGACATTAAGCATTAATAAAAAAAAGATGCTTGATTGAATTGGAGCAAAGAGAGCACGCCGTTACAACTGTCATTAATGGTGTGATCTCGGTTTTAGGAGCTGCACAACTATTTCATGTTCCATACAGAAAAATACAATCTAAACAAAAACAAATATGGTGAAAATGAAGTTTCTTCTAGAGAAGAACTTCTATGCTTATTTGGGCATCTCGATGTGTTTAGTAGCGTTTCATAAAACTTTAGAAAGAGTTTAATGTCTCGAAGCCAGAGATTCTCTTACTAATTTCTATTTAATTTTGTCTGAAAAGTGCAATTTAATATTTAAAACACAACAGATAAATATAATGTTTTTCTTTTATTATAATATCAATGTTAAAAAGTTCATTTATGTTCGTCGTACTTAAAATATTGGGACTAACATGATCATTTTATGTTTTTTTTAAATTTGTGTTTAATTTGATTTGAATAATATAATAAAATGTAAAAAAAATACATTTAAATATAAGATTTGGTTTTTATTGTAATATTAATATTCATTTTCAATGTTTTTCAAATTACAACTTAAAATTGATTTTCGTTAAAATTGTAGTAAATCAAATAAATGACGTTGCGGCTCAAGATTTAAAGAATAATTTTTCATATATTGGGTAAATATTCTTTAAACATGTGAGTTTTCTGCTACATATTCAATTTAAAGATAAAATTATTACTTTTCAAGAAATTGTTCAAAAATGACAATATAAGAAGGCAATGGGAATCAGGCGCAATTAAATACGCAGTTTAAAATTAAAAAGTAAAGAGTTTTACTCTCACATATGTATATTTCAGACGTTTCAGCTCATATTTTTAGTCATCTTCGGTGAATATAAAATAAGTCGAAATTATATTCTCTGAAGATGGCCAAAAAAATATGAGCCGAAACTTCTGAAATATAAATGTGAGATTAAAACTCTTTGTTTTAATTTTAAACTGCGTATTATTAACCGTGCCTGATTCCCATTGCCTTCTTATATTGTCATTTTTAACATCGGGAATCTTATAGAAATTTATTATTGTTTAAGAAGTTTGAAATTATTCAAATTATCCCGCTG